GCCAGCGATGGAAAACTGGAGGATCCAGATTCAAGTCCCAGAAGGAATGTTGTGTTTGGTCTCTGCCATTAACGCCTTAACAGAAGCTCACGCTGAGGACTGCAACGCTGCTGCCTTCCTCCCATTTATGGGGCGAGAATTGATTCAGTGGCAAATCAGAGTCAGCAGAGGCTGGAGAGCAGACAGCCTGGGATTTGCACTGAGTCAATCCATCCCTAATTAGCCAGGCTCCTAAGACCAAATGTGGGCATCAAGAAAACTTGATAGCTCAGCAGCAAATCCCAAATGGACAGAGCAGCCCTCCCTTACTGAAGAAGATCTGCTCTACCTGCATTGCCCGGGTTGAATTTCTTCCTTCTCCCCTAAAATCCCCTTAAAGACAAGACAACAACTGAAAGCAGTTTTCATGATTCAGCCTCAAAAGAGATTTGGAGGGATTGACAGTGTGTCATCTGTGCTGCTGGGGAAGTAAATAAGGAAGGTCAGGGTAGACATAAGGGGAATGGAGTCTTTTTAATGATTTATGGACAGTGGAAACTAGAAAGAGTCCATACACAGAATGAAGCTCAGCTGAGCTGTGTGGGAATGTGCCAGGACAGCATTCTTTTTCAATGGCTGCCCATTCACCTTGTTTCTGAACAGGTCTGTCTTACTGCAGTAACGACTTCTATAATATTTTTGGTTTAAAAACAACACAGAATGAAAGCATCCGTACACCAGATATTTCCACTCCATAACATTAATTTGTCTGGATGTCGGGCAGACTTGCTGGTTAAAATTCTTTACAGGTTTAAACAGCTGTTCATTTACTGTACTGGCCAAACTACCAGCTGAAAAGCTACTCCTCCTTCTCTTCTCTCTCTAAAAGGCAGCTATGAAATCTGTATAAAACTTCAGAAATCTTTCTAAAATAGAGCTGGTAAGTCAGTCAATTTTCTGAAAGGAAATAGAGGAACCAACACAAGTCCACAGAAAGTCACAGTTCTGAATGCCCTTGCTTGTGCAGGCATAAAACCACTTCTATAAATGCAAAGCAGCATTTATATCTCGGCGACTTTCCAATACCACTAAGACACCTGAGTATTTTTCCGACTCTTCTCAGCATTAAAAACCTCATTCTGCTCGTCCCCAACTCCATGTCCTTTTTCCTCCTCCAACATAAACACAGGGATGGAGTCCCATGAACAAAGATGCACTGGAGAGTGGACAGATTGCTGTCCTTTAAATCTTGCCATCTCATTTTCTTGCCTTGAGTGAGGAAAGCAGCCTGTGCGGAAGAGCCGTGTCCTACATTCTTGCCCAGCCCCAACGTGATTTCTCAACAGAAATAACACAGTCACTAAAGCATCACACAAAATCTAGGATTGTTTCTCGCCTTACAGAAACATCACTGTAGAAATCCAGAACATATTTTACCCACCAGATTTACAACCAACATCTGGGACTTCAAAAAACCGTAAGATTTTTTTTAAATCTGCATTTTTCTCAATGAGTTTATTTGGCAAGTGATGTGGCATCGCAGCTTCTCCTTCCTACCCACGCGGCTCTTGAGGATAAGAGATGTGAAAAACTAAATGCATAAAAATAGAATCATGATACCTTAGGGCTATTTTAACTTACTTTAAACTTACTACTTTTCAATTTTGTAGACTAATTTTAAAACAGCAGTTACGTTAAAAATCACTTGAGATAAATTATTGAGACCTAAGTTTCTATGTAACTCCAGCTTGTACCTATCTATTTCTTAAATGTAACAAGCACAGAGCCTTTTTGAGCTGGCACATTTCATCTCTTGTGCAGTCTTGAGACAGCTGCAATCTTTTCCATGCCATATATTTCCATCTCCTTTTATAGATTGAAAATCTTCAACCATTCCAGATCTGATATTGGCTTCCATCATGCATCTCTTTGTATGATGAAGTTATTACTACAGGAATCAGATTCAGACTTGTGAATTGCAGCAGGACTCTCTCTGCTTTTTTTGCCAAACAAAATCCCAGCTCTCTCTTCCAGGTTTTATTTTCGCTATCAGTTCTGTCAGATGTGACAGCGTTCTGGATCAAAGTACTTTGTGAATCTACACAAGAACTGGCGTGAAGCCAATCCTCATATTCAGGTAAAGATGACTCAAAGGTTTGTCGGTCTCTGCTTTCCACTCCATTCTCAGAAATTTCCCTGTTTCTCAACGGCCTTGTGTTGTTTACCTCATAAAATACTTTGCTGCCTAGCTCATCAGAGCTTGATGCAACATCCTGCTTTTCTTCTTCTTCCGTAAGGCCAGCCAAGACTTTCACAACTTTTTGACACTGGTGTAAATATGCTGAGGTAGTTTCCTCCAAGTCTGATGCATTCAGTAACAGCCTATTATCTACTTTACACATCTCAGGTGGTTTTTACCCTACTTTTTGGAACTTGTGCAGTTCCACACTCCTTGGATATCCTGTGTGTGCCCTCAGTCCTAACCGTGTCTGTCTCGCTGTTACTTTCAGAGGCAGAAAATGCCGTATCTATGCTGCAATGGCATGATAAAGAAAACAGCCAGAAACACTGTATTTAAAGAGCATACATAACTGTACTCAGGGTTAAAGACATACATGTACTCAAGGTTAAAGCTATATATTAACCAGAGGCTGTAGTCATGGTTCTGTGGTAGTTCATATACCAACAGGCAGCTGTATCCTGCCTAAACCTGACAGAATTCTGCCCAGATTTGGCTGTTACTTTTCAAAATCAGTCTTGAGAGTCCCCTCACGTTTTACAGTGTGGTGGTTCTGTCTGGACCTCCAGGGTGTGCACCAATTTCCTAATCTGAAAGGAAAATCAACTTTGATTTTTAAAACAAAAGTAGTAGTGGGCCAGATTAACACCCCTACCATCAGGCTATTCCATTTTTAAAAGAACTATTAGCTGTCTGGTCTGTACACAACACTTTATTCTGTGACTGACACTCATGGTGCCTCCTGACCAAGTGAAAAAAGTTATCCAGCAACTTCACTGGATGTTTGTGGTTGAGTCCAGAAAAGGCATCTTGACACAGCACACACCTCTTAGGATGCTGGTTGTGGCTGAACAGTGAAGTGTCTCACCAAGAATAAACTATCAAAAAAAAAAAGGAAAAAAACCATTACCTCCTTTCATGTACTGCTTTTTCATGCTTTTGCCTTAACTCCTGAGAGCTCTCCAAATTGACATGAAGAAATTGTAAGTCACGCTGCTGTTTTATGTAGATCTGTTTAAAGATAGTAATGCGCACTAGTGAAAGTCTGGAGTGAAGGAACAGTCATCAGGTACTAACACATTGCTTGTCTTCCAAAAATATCCTTAAAACATTTTTATAAACCAATACCAGGAGTCCAACTATTGTCAAAACCTTCCAAATCTAAGGGGCCACCTCTGCATGTATTTAGGAAAATAATGTTTGGTGTCAATAAACAGTATTTCTATTAGAAGACAGCAGTGGTCTTCTAAAATGGAACCACACTGAACCATAAATACAGTCCCATTATTGTTATTTGATATCTAATACACGTTGTTATTTGTAGTTCAAAGTTATGCAGAATCACAGGACATGGAATGATGATGACAGTATTTAGCTTGTACTGCAGGGGATCTTTTGTAAAGCTGACGTAGAAGGTAACACAACAATCAATTCTTTGCAACAAAAAAAATGAACATGCCTTGAGAACCTCAAATGAATGCAGGTGAAAACACTGGTTTTATGTCTCTCTTTCAGATCTTCCAGTACCTCATGCTCCTTCACGCTACGTGAGTTCACCTTGGGCATGTGTGCGAGGCCGCTGACCCCGCTCCTGCTTCCCAGCAAGGTAGAAACAGCAATTTTTTTTTTCTTAATTAAGAATAGCTAGATCTATTTATAGTGTTCCATTCAGATTTGATGTTATTGAAAAATGCCTTCATAATTTCAGAGTAGAAACACAATTAGGGTTGTACCTGCCGCAAACTTGATAGTTCTGTGTCAGTCCGCACTTGTTTAGACTTGGCAAACTGAAGAAGCTGATCCTTTCTCTGGGCTTTCTCAACTGTTTCAAAATATATATAATTTTTAAATTACTATCAGTTAATAGACATAAAAATAAGTACATTTGTTAATACATGTGTCTGTAGCAGTAGAAACAAGGTACCTAACCAAAACAAAAGCATTTTCTTACTATCACTGGGATCTGTTTCCCCTCCAAACAGAAAGAGCACAAAAAGCGTAAGACAACTAAACAGACCAAGTATTTTCCTCAGACTTTTCAGCAGCACCCAGTTTTATTTTACTAGCAGCAATATTCTGCTTCATTGACTGATTTATTTTACTTAAAATGTTAACATTCTTCCATGGAAAGGAAATTCAATAATTAATTCTAATTCATGTGTTGTACAGAGAAGTGCTGGGAATTCCTTCCTATTACTATTGTTTCTAAAATAATGAGACATGAAATCAGTATTTGGCAAAGGTAACGGCAGATAATAAGTGACAGGCAAGTAAATCACCTCACAGCAGAGGACATCTTTGGTCACCTAGTTTTTCAAGGTATATATTGCTTGTCTGTAAGATTACTGCAGCAACCATCAGCCTGCCTTTCTTACCCACTGCAGCACAGAAGAGGTAACTTCATATGCCCTAAGTTTTAGGGTTTGCATGTGGCTTCCTTTCAGTAGGTCACCATTTTCTACCCAACCTGTGTCAGAAGGAAGAATGCCACCTCCATTTATTGTATTAATATCACAGGAGACATGAAAACCTCAAAAATTTTCAAGATTCCTCTGAGCCATTTATTCCTCCACGTGTAATCAATCATATTGGTGAACTTTGTGCTTTTACAAGATTTTATAAACTGTCCCTGCAGAAGCCCCAGATATTGCTTTCATAGAAGGAACAGAGCTTTACTAAACTGCAAGAAAAGTAGATAAGAAGCTGCCTCCTTCACAGATAGTAGTGAACTGCTGTTGTTGTAGAGGTCTTTGAGCTGTTGAAAGCTAAGGCATGAAAATTGAACTGCCCACACTTACCAATAAGTGCGAGCTCATTCCTCAAGAAGCCATTTTCTTGTTTGAGGTGAGTGATTTCTTCCTGCTGCTTATTATTTTCTTTCATCTTTTCACAGAGATCATCTTTAAAACAAAATGTAGTATTTCCCAGAATGAAAAGGAGTCATGCTGGTCTGCACTGAATTAGGTGCCCAGTATAAAAATTTACCTTTCAGCTTATTTATTTCAAGTATCAGTTCTTTCAGTCTCAGTTTGAGGTCTTGCTTTTCTTTGTTGAGACTGAATTCCTCCATCTTTGCTGCACGCAATGCACTTCCCAGCCTTTTGAATTTAGACGTAAACTCAGTAATGTGATCAGTTGTTTCAAGTATAACCTTGTCCTGAAATATGAAATAGAATGTATTCCTGATTATTGTTTTATCCTCAGGTATGGATTTTGATAAAACAACAGTACATCTTACTGCAGTAGTCACAGGTACAGATTTCCTTCTGAGCTCTTGAGCAAAAAAAAAAAAACCAAAACAAAATTAAAGCCAGGAAACAAGCTTGTTTATGGAAACAAACCAGTTTATTGTTTGTTGACCACTTTTCCTTTCTCAAACAAGCCTAAGAATTAAACAGCAGAGAGATCAATGGTGACTAAACCACTGTGGGACAGTCACCAATAACTGCACTGCAGTTTGACCACATTTAGTGCCTGATGAGCTGACAGATGTTACCTTCAGCTTAAGCATAGTAAGAAGCTCCTGTTCTCTTGCTTGCAGCTGGCCTGTTTTAGCAGACAGTTCCAAAACTGAGCAGTGGAGACTCTGATTTTTCTCCTAGCGAAGAGAAATAAGAGTATCAGCTACTACTTCAGTGATTCAAAGTTACTATTTTTTCCAGTAAATGTGTGCACAGCTTTATTTAAACACCATGAATGGCAATATGGGATTCCAAGCAAGCTGCAAGGATCTGGAGAAAAGATGACTAGAGTAAAAATTGTTTCCTGATTTATTACAACCAAACTGCTTGTGATCAAGGGTCTTAATATCCTGCATGTCTTAAGCCAAGCGGATTAGACAGATGAAAATGCAGAATACTGCTTCACTTTGTGGCATACAGGGGAAAAATTATCCCAAGAAACACATCAATGCTAAACCACTCAAAAAAAAAAAATCTAGAACCCATGAATGCCAATTATTTTCATATTCTTAAACCAATTTCAGAGTGTTACAGGTCATCACTGTAATAAAAGCTGTAAATAAAACCTTCTCCAACTTCCTAACCAAATACCAATACTGCTCTGGGGCCAGCACTGCCTATACCTTAATCAAACATTAATTAACTTTGATTAATCTAACATTACTAAAAGACAAATGCAACTCAGGAGCCTTAAGATGAAATATTTATTCACTAGAGAAACTCACAAACGCCACTGGCATTCTGTACATGCATGGACTGCCAAACCAGACCATTACTCAGCTCCTACCTCCAGAGCCTGACAGTGAACAGTTGCATCCGTTACTTTTTGAGACAGCTCTTTAAACTGTTGTGTATTTTCAAATGTTGTCTTACTACCATTCTGCTGAGATTCTAAGAGCTTTAACCTTTTTGTCAGTGATTTTATAATTTCATTTCTCTTGTTCAGCTCATCTGAAAAGGAAGGAGACAAGGTATCTGTCAGAAAACAGCTCAGACACCGTAATACCATTTTAAAAATCTCAGAAATAATTTAATCCAGTGTTTTAAAATCACACGGTTCAGAAATGGATGCTCGTGTTGTATACTCTGAAGCAGGACTCTAGCTGCCCAGGTCAGAAGCAATACAAGCACTGTGGTGACTCTGCACTACTGCTGTCAAACAAGACTGTTCAGAGGTGCTAGGTGATGAGCTGGGTGGCTTGTGGGTAATGTCAGAGCTGTGCAACCTCAGGGAGCAGGGCCCTGCAATACACCGGCATGTTTGCAAACTGTTCTCTTCCTTCATTTATTTAATCAATTTTTTTTTTTAAGACTCCACAGAAGCAATTTATATCTTCAAACAAGAAAGAGCTCTCTGATTATCATAACCCCAAGATCACTTTAGTACCATCATGGAAGTTTTGATCTCAGAAAGAAGATAACCAAATTTAAGGTTGAAGAGCAGGAAATGGTTCCTTATATGATGGAAAACTGCTACTGAGGGGTCTAAGCACCTGAATGTCCTTTAAAGACCAGGGTCTTATTCTCAATATACACAATACTTACTGTTTAATAAACTGCATCGTTCTGCTAAAGTCAGTATCTTTTGCCGATCGTCTTCCCAGGCCAGGAGCTGTCTCTGATGCACTGCAACCATGTCATTGAGTTCCCTATCACGATCTTTCAGTTCTGCAATTAAAAGCTGGAGTTCTTGTCTCTGTTTCTGAAGGGTGCTGTTCTCAAGGCTCGGGCTAAATTTCTATAAAAGGTAATAGACGGGACACGTTTCAATGTAAAGAAGCGACAAATTGTCTGACAATAGACTTGTGGGGTTAATTTAAGTTCAAATATTTTTATATTATAAACAAGACATTATTCCAAGAAGTTCCTTGTGCTTGTGGTACCACCTGTGGTCCTTGATGGAAAGCATCGGTGGTACAATGAGCACTTCAATGTTAAAAAGAGAGCGCTCGGATTGTTAATTGCGCTTTGATTTTTTACCTGAGGCGAAGGAGGCGGCGGCAGCGATGAATTCATAGGGGACTGCGGAGCAGAGCGCTGCCGGGCATTAGTGGATGCTGGTGCCTATCGATGACTGTACGGTGGAGCATGGAGCCTGCCTCTGATTTAAGCACTAGC